CAAAACATGGCCTGGTAAGCCGGGCAGCGACAAGCCAAGAACAACATTACTATCTGGTGTGCACAATTTCCTGCTGCATCGCCGTGGGCTGTTGCAGTCATGCTGGCGTTGCAACGGCTCCCCACCAGAAAATAGTAACAGACTGTCCATGAGTAGAAACTCAACGCATTTCCCAGTAGAGTTTGTCCGGTCGAGTTGTAGCCTGGCGGCAGAACATGAGAGAAAACTCAGAGATTGCGTCGCATCGGAAACGCATCGCAAACTTTGTGATGCATTTACCAATCTCCGCATTTTCCCGCAAAATGTGCCGAAGATTACAAACTGAGCTTTAAAATTCCCCGCAAATCCCCGCATTTTGCCGCAAAGCGGTTCTGCGTTTTGCTGGAATTTACAAATCCCCGCATTTTCCCGCGAAAACCCGCGGACGTCCTTTGCAGCAAAACAGCTCCCTGCTGCATTTTTCCTCGGCAGGCAGCTAGAGCACCGAGCTGTCCAACTACTGAGACAGGATATTCCCCTACAACTGTCCCCATTTTTCTCGTTGCTGCCTAGTAGTGATTAGTAGTGTCTACCAGAAAGCGTGACTTAGCTTTACCGAGCTGCTTTCTGAATCCCCGAGCATTCGTAAGATTCGTCACAAAAGGATTCACATGCATCTCTTTCTTTCTGGCCACTCATGGCGGCTGTGCTCTTGTCACGCTTGGCTTGGCGGCCGGATGCACTGGCAATCTTTTGTCCCAAGTCACCGAGNNACCGAGCCGTCTTGCGGTGTTGCTGTTTGTTAGCCCACAAGCAGCCTTGTCTAAGCAGTGTCTTTCAACGCCTATTGCATCATGAAGCATTTGCAAAACATCCTTTTGAGAAGACATTTCGATCGTCCTGACCTTTTGCTGGTAGACGTCCGATTTCACCAACCTTGTTGTAGTGGACGTCCGAACTGAATCCGGAAAAGGCCCCCTTTGGTAAAAGCCCCCTTTCAGCTTTGCCGAGACACCGGCAGAAAGAAAGACAGAAAGAGAGAGAGAGAGAGAGATAACAGGCGCTGGGCACCAGCGCACAGTGAAGGGGCACAGCCCTGGCGAAAGAAAAGGTACAGAGGGAACCATTTTGGCTCAAGTATTGCACCTTTGCTTGGGGGTTTGTGCTGCCCCCTTGAATCGGGGGGGAGACGAGGGATTGACCTAGAGCTGTTACTCTAGGGGAGCCTTCTCGGTTGTCCCAGCGGTGCTTGAGCTGCATACCTGCCGCCACTTTGCTTAAGAGGCCCGATGGGCCCGCTAGAAGGGGGATTCGGCAATAATCGAGGAGGGCAGGTTTGCAGTGCCACACCACAGACCGCGACCAAGTGATTGCAAGAGCTCCCACTAGGTAACTTCGGCGATGGGGAGACGAAGTGCTTCATCAACCGCCAGCTTGCCCAGTAAGCCACAGCGACCAAGTAATACCACCACGCTGGGTGGGGGACATCCTCACCTTAATTAAAGATCGTGACTTGGGCAAGATCGGCGACCTGGCAAAGTTTGCCCTACGTGGACAATGGCAGGACTTGGGGGGAAGGAATGTAGATTGTGCTGCTATGGAGGAGGCATCTGTCAGACAGGGTTAAACAAAACCCGTGTGCACTCCGATCCCAATTGCAGATTACACGGATCGGTCGAGCGGGGGAACATGCCGATATCCTACCAGGCAAAGCCGACCAAGCCGAACGTTGCGAGACCAGAGCAAAACACAGCAGCGCCGCCAGCGAATCCTTTCTCTGAGATGGTGCGCTTCGAAACACGCATCGGGATGAACCTACTCTACGAGCCAGACCCGCAGTTAGACCACTGAATAGGCAAAGATATCCAGCAAGACCTGGAGACGGAGCGATACAAAGACATTGGTACGGGGGAGCTGCTCAACACGACTATGGCAAGGTCTTTCAACAAGTGTCAAAAACGGCATGCGGAGCGATGCCGCACCGGGGACAACGCAGACAAGCTGACCTGCATCGTTGACAAGTACAGTACCTTTCTAAAGTTGCAGACGAAACCCGCATCTTCGTGATGAGGCGGGCCGACAAGATGCCAGAACTACCTAAGCAAGCTCGCAAGGTGAAGAAGAAAGCCAAGACCCGAGGGCGAGGGGACAAGAAGCGGACGACACAGACCGCCGACGATAGCTACAAGCACAACAGCCAGCGAGAAGGAGTTTCCAAGACCGAACGCCACGAAGAACTGCAAGCCATCCACCGCCTCAGAGCCAAGCAAGAAGCGAGCTGTGCAGAAGGCGGGGGCGGGGCCCCCAACAGGGGGATGCAAAAAACCGTACCCGACGAGCCAGCGGACTACAACTGCACAGCACCAAGCCAACAACCGACAGCTGAAGAGTGTGAGACAAAAGAGCGCAGTGACACCGAGGACAGTGCACCAGACTATTGGGGGGGACGACTCGCCACCAACCGCTGCCGATGTCCCTCAATGGCTTTGAAGAGAAAGCGGCAGGTCATCGGACAGAGCCACCAGTGCAAAAATCCCCAAAGGCCCAATGAACTTCGGGGAGTCCCAGAAAGACGACCCACAAGGACAACCGCAGAGAGGGCAGCCCACACAGGGGGAGTTCAGCAATGCCAGAGTACAGCTGACACCCAACCAGTGGTGGCAGGGAGTACAACAAGTACAGGAGCATATGGGCAAAAACGGCGAAGAGTGGGGGAGACGACGCTCCAGCACTGAACAAGAGTGAGCGGCCGGGGACATTTTGTCCTAATGGTTTTGCCTTGTTTTCCACCCTGGTGCTTAGTGCCCCTTAATGACAGACGGGCCGCGGAGCCAAACACACTCCGTTGCAAGGGCCATATGCCCATCAATCCATACACGAGACTTTAAGTAAATTCACCCCAACGGGGGAACCCACCAGGGGACCCCATTAGATTACCTTCGTTTTGCATTTCCACTACTCGCTAATGTCCTCACATACTGTGATGCTTGGTTTCCTTTTTACTCGGGGCGTACTGTGATCTGCAAGCTGTTGTGAGAACGAGGGCACTATAAGGTGGCAGCATATGACTTCGCTTCTTTTACGGCTGTATTGCTTTACATCTGTTTGGGCCTTTATTCTGATGTTGCCCTTACAGGGGGTATGCTGCCGTCTAGTGTACTCCACATCCTCGGGACGGATTGCTGCAGGGATTAGGATGTTGCCTTAGAGGGCGCGGAGACGAGGCCTGGATTAGTTTCGGGGACGGGCTTTTGCAGCAACCCTTCACTACCGGCCAAACCGTCCAATGGGACGAGTGCCTTCCTTAACATGCGGAAGCCTCTTGATCACAAACGAATGAGGGAAGGGGGGGGCGCCTTGACCCAGCGGAAGGAAGGAAGGAAGGAAGGAAGGAAGGAAGGAAGGAAGGAAGGAAGGAAGGAAGGAAGGAAGGAAGGAAGGAAGGAAGGAAGGAAGGAATCAAGGAAGGAAGGAAGGAAGGAAGGAGGGAAGGAAGGAAGGAAGGAAGGAAGGAAGGAAGGAAAACTGAGAGAGAGAGAGAGTGAGACTGGTAATTGGTGCAACCAATTTTTGTAAGTGGTCACAACAGCTCTCTTGCAGAGTATCCGCGAGGGCACTAGTTGTAGGCCCGCCTGATTTTCGCGGGCATTTCGCCACGTGCGAGGAGAATGTGCAGAGATACGAGTTCAGCAACGAGTCTGTGGAGCCCACATCGCACTTTGGCTGTGGTACGAGCCGGGTGGAGGGTTACGGGAGAGGGCAGCGTGAGCTGAACCTTGACCATACCATACAAGCTTACCAACACGCCGCCTGCTTCTTCAAGTCAGATCAGTAGTGCTGATGCTACTCTTCTGCTCTGTTGTTACTGGTTTTGTTCATGTGCAAGGCTTGTGCGGCTAAGGGCTTCGTTTTTCGGAGAGACTCAGCGGGACTTGTGGCTTTCACAGCTTCGGTGCGGAACAGGAGCACCAACGAGGCGAAACACAAGCTCGTGACGAAAAAATTGTTTTTGAAGCGTGTTGCCGCCACCACAGCCTGACTCATGTTTCCAGATTTCAGAACTTCCCCGCTATGGAAACACCGGTCGCAGCTGCCTCAAGGTGAGTCGCGACCCATGCGATGCCCTCAAATCTTGTATCTTTGTGAGTGAAAGCAATGTTGACGTTGATGCTCGCCCCGTGTTCTGTCCATGTAAGTGAAAGAGCTCCGACTAGCTTCAGGCTATCAACTGACATGCATCTACTTCCATTAACTGGGAGTCGAACATGTTTTTTCAGGACAGCATAGTCAGAGGTTACCAGTTCACACGCATGCGCATATGTATGTATGTATGTATGTGTGCATGCATGCATTTATGTCTCTATGTGTGCATGTATGGATGTATGTATGAACGTATGTATGCGCACACAAAGACCTTTGTTTTGTCATCTAATGCAACTTATATATGGAATACATACTATACTATCATGGAAGTCATTATACTATCATATAACAGGATATAATATAATATAACAGAATAGAAAAGAATGGAATAAAATATGATGTAAGGTGGTAACATCTAATATTGTATGAGATAATATAACGGTGCGAAAATCCGCGTAAACAATATGTAGTGTAATGCACGGTATCATCATACTGTTTTAAATATAAACACACTATTCCTAAAGGGTAATTTAATTAATATACTCGAACATGTTGTAAAAAAAAACATACTTTACTATGCTTCAAAATATAATGCAATATAATAGACTACAGTATAATGCAATAATACACAAATACAGAAAGCACAAAAATACAAAACAATACAATATAATACAATGTCATAGAAACAAAACTAAACAACATCATAGTATAATTTAAGACCATAAGGCATAGCTTAACTTATTTCATCACAATCGGATGTGATATACTGCTATATGCTATATCACATCATAGTATAATACAGCTTAATCTAATCCAGCGTAAGAACTTTGTTTATTATTACATCATATTCTGATGCAGCTTCGTATACTCTGATACAAAAACAAGAGTAGCCTGATATAACATAATATAGTGAAAGCTACCATGACTGAGATAACACCAGATAATATTGTATGTTATAACATTACACACACACACATATACAAATATACATAAATACATAAATACATATATAATCCTACATAATCATGTAAAATCATACGTACATATACATGTGTGTTTATATAAATATAAATTAGAGATATATATATATATATATATTCATATACTATACTATGGCGTAAATGAACAAAAGGTAATATCATGCAATACAATGCATGAACGCAGACATAGTTTGGATCTTGATCTAGAAATTACTGGAAGTTTATTTTTGGCTGAGCGACTTTATAGCTTGGTTACCCTTGTTCAAACCTACCTGCTGTCGGCATGCTGGGCAATCATCCAGCAACTCAGCACGCAGATGCAAGCCAGCTGAACGGGAAGTTGTTGCGAGGTATGGAGCATGTGAAATTACTCACCCTCCGTCCGTGGTGCACAGACCGGGAAGAGACTGTTTAGGGCTGTCCGAGCCTTCTTGTGTTTAGGGCTGTCCGAGCCTTCTTGTTCGGGGTCGATTTGCTTTGGACACCCAGGTGTGCACCGGTGGAGCAGCCGATGACTGAGCGATGCATGGCTCGAATTGGCTTGTTCTCGTCGAGCATGCGGCACAGTCTTCTGCGTAATCCGAGTCATCACTGACAAATCTGACGTCAACTTAGACTTCTGAGAGACGGATACAAAGCTGATGTGGAATTCAGATTCTGCATCGGGTTCGGTTTTCCGTGAGCAGTTGAGATGGCTACGTTGTAAGAAGTTGGGTGGCTTTGTGTTAGATGCACCCTCATGTCCTGCCTTCGTGCCTGCTCTGAGGAGTCACTGCAGAGTCGAAAGCGCCAACTGGATCCAAAGTTTCGGCGCCAAAAGGTTACAGTGTTGGCAGGACGCATGATTCTGTGCTGGGTAGACTCTTTCCCTATTGAAACTTACAACCCACATACTTAAGTTGTTGCTGGTGCGTGCTGTAAGCTCAACCTTGGTGGTTGCCATAGTTGTGGAGTGTTGCAGTTCCTAGGTCCTAGTTAGGTATCTTTCCGGACGGTGCTTGTCCTCAAGGCTTGCCTGCTGCTGAACGCCAAAGGTCTCATTCTGTGAGCGGAACGTCTTGAGCCAGTGACAACGAAGAATCTCCGAAGCAGGTAAGGTGCAGATGTGAGTGAGCTCACTGTGGCTGATCTCGACAGTATGTCGTCCACGTGCGTCCCCCACCGAAATCCTCTATGCATGCTGCCTGTGTCCGAGCGCCACCACTTGCACGAAAACCCCTGGAACGGTGTGAGAAGTCGTCGAAGATTCGAAGTGTCAAAAAAGACACCACGTTGCAGGAGCATGATGTGGAGGGAGATGCTTACTGGCGCATCGCACTCCTTGGCAGCTGACTTTTCGCATCACCTCGACGGTCGGGCAGCTGCACAGGGAGGGTTTGCGGGCAATGTGATTCAATAGATGTTGAGGGTTCAGTAACAGCAACCATCCCATTGTTTCGAAGATCCAGGCCGTAGCACATCCATGAACTTCGTGTGTTGACCCATGTGTGTTTACCAATGCAAGCTGCATTTCTGTACGATAATATACTATATAGTCTGCTAGACGATAAGACTATGCTACGCTACACTGTACTGTATTGTTTGTATTTACTATACTATACTCTTATATACGAAACTGTACCATACTATACTATAACAACCTATACCATACGAACATGTAATGTACTATACCATACTATACCATACTATACCATACTATACCATACTACTAGTACTACTACTACGACGACTACTACGACTGCTACTATGAAAAATTACTACTTTTACTGCTCTTACTACTATTTCTACTATTACTACTATTACTACTATTACTCCTATAGCTACTACTAGTACT